AATTTATTGTTTTTAAGAAACAATAAAACTTACAGTTAATTCAAAAAATATCTTCCACAATTTACAGCATTTTAAAAAGTTTCAGAAAGTTACCCAGAGAGTCCAGGCGCAATCATTTGTAAATCATTTCTTACATGTATAGTAAATAATGTGTAAGTTGAGCTGTGAATTTACTGTGAACATTTCAGAGACAAACAAGCCGTGAAAATGTTGAATTAGTTCTGGAAATGAACCAGTAAACTGCTGGAAATGACCTGTGACTTTTGGGAAAGTCACATTTCAGTTTCTGTAAATGTTCAGTGGAGAAAATGAACTGAAAGTTCCAGGAAAGTCGTTTTGCTTCGTTCATCCTGTTTCCACCCACCAGCCAAATGCCAGCTCTGCTCACATCCATCGCTTCCACTCAGCAGCCGAACCGCTAACGTCAGAAAATCAACAGCATGTGAGAATCCAAAGTGATGCAACTGTTTGCGATTTGCTTCCAGATTGTGAATCGATTCACCGTTTGAGGGAAAGAAGAACAAACGTTTGAGCCACTAAATCTGCTGTAAATAACAGAAATGTTGGATTTTGCAGAGATCTTGAATAAAACAGTCAAAGACCGTAAAGCAGCTAATTTGGGATTAGCAATCTGGTCGTCTCTGCAACATGTTTTCCAAAATGTAAAAATCCAACCTGTTAATTCAGGTAAAATAAGAAAACTGAGACTCAACAGTAACAAAATAAGGAAAAGGAATAAAAAGTAATGCAAAAAATAAAAATAAAATTATCTGGATGGAAGAAAGCACTAAATGCATAACATGAAACTATAGAAAATTGCATAAATAGGGACTAAAAATACTCCTGCAGTTGTTTTATTTTCACATTTCTCTCTTTTCCTATCAGCTTTTATCGTCCTGCTAAATTCAACATGTTCATATTTCTCATGTTTCTCTTTGTGGCACCAATTTATTCCTGATTCCTCCTCTGTCTGAGCTGACAGGACGTTCATATTCCACCACCAGATGTGGTTAATTTTTACAGAAATTTGGACGATATCTCAGCTTTTCATCTTTCCTGGTGCTGAAATACGACAAAAGAAGCGTGGAGTCAGATTTATCTGCTTTGACGCGCCGACATCAGGCTTTGTCCCCGTTTTAAATCAACTCTCCCAGCCTGTGAAATCTCTCAGAGCGACGCTCTCGGCTGCTCCAGGGATGAGTCAGATCTCCGGCGCTCTGAATCCACATCCAGGCGTTTTGCAGCTGCAGAAAATCAGACATCTGACTTCCTGTTAGATAACCGTCTGAGGTCTGTGCTGGAAATAAAAGTTGCAGATATGAGCCTCAGGTGACGCCTGGACTCAGGAAAACATCAACCAGGAAGCAAGAAGCCAAATCAGGCCAGGTTTAGTTTATTATCAGCTGAAGCTGTTTAGCTGTGAACCTGAGCAGCTTCCACCTTCTGTTTTCATATCATAATCAGGTTTTCTGAAACATGAATGATAATCAGGCTGTTACAGATGCATAATTCAAAGGTTTTCTGGTGTTTTTCTAGACGCTTTATAATGTTTAAGACGTCAACTTTCACAAAACTATTCAGAAGGTATGAAGCTACTGCTGAGAAATGTAAATATCGTCAGAACAAAAACAGAATAAACACGTTTACTTTCCTCTCATCTGAAGGATTTTCACTCATTTCCCCGAGTGAAAATCCATCCATGATGTCAAATGTTGGATCAAATCAAAGTGATCAGTACAGGCGCCGGCATGGAGACAAACATTGCTGGTTCATGAATCCCACCAGAAGTTACTGCGATAAAACATGATATTGTGTCACGTATCGGCATAATAATGCAAGAACTCGTTCTCTATAGACAACAACGAACTTTAACTTCCAGCGAAGCTTTGACACTGAGACTGGAAAATATCCAAAATACATAAAACAAAAGACAAATAAAATGAATTATGACGTTTCTGTGAACAAAACCTTCACAAACGGATTATTGAGTCCAAAACACCAGAATAAAAACTTTCATCAACCAAGTTTTGGTAGAAAGAGAAAACATAGAAAAACTATAAAAAATAAACCAAATGGAAATTATTCAGCTCATTTTAATTTATTGTCACAAGTAAAAAATATTTATGAATAAGTTGGTATTTTTAATGGTTTATCAAATGTTCAGACTTTCTGTATTTACTGTAGCTTTGAGTTCAATGTGTGGGAAGTTTGGTTTTTAATTCTCTCGTCTTTAAATGAAATGATGCATCACTTTTCCTGCAGGTGAAGTGACTTTTAAATCAGGACCCAAAACAAACTCAAGTGACTTTTTAAATTGTAAGATTGAAGAAATTACTTTGAATTCAGAACCGTTTCTAAAGCGATACTTTAAAACTTATAAAATGTCCTAAAAACAAACAAAAAACAAGCAAAGTATTTGAGTTTCCATCGTCTAGGATCCACCAAACCACAGAGAGCCTGATTCATCAGATGCTAACGCTACATGTGGCTGATAAACAGGAAGTAAAGATTGCTAACCAGCATGTTCCCCTCTGAGCTGCAGGTCAGGACCGGGTCTGGACCGGGTCAGGACCGGATCAGGACCGGATCAGAACCGGGTCTGGACCGGGTCTGGACCGGGTCGGGACCGGGTCGGGACCGGGTCAGGACCGGGTCGGGACCGGATCGGAACCGGGTCGGGACCGGGTCGGGACCGGGTCAGCATCCTTCCAGATGCTAACATGGATGCTAACAGTCACTGTTGTTTTTAAGACCCAAACAATCCAAGTAACAAAGATGGAGATTTTACTGCGATTTATGAACCAAAACGTTTCATTATGCAGAGAAACTACAACAGGCCACGATTATAAAAACCTCATTAAACTCAGTGACTTTCTGATCCAAAATGAACTGAAAATATTTGATGTTGATTGGTGAGTTTGACACTCAGCAAAATGTTGGTTCCTGGTTTTCTCACTGCATGGTGTCGTTTTATTACACCGTGTTTGTTCTTCTACTGGAAGCTTTATGACTAAAAATGTCTTTTAGCTCAGACTCTAAAACCTAAACAAGCTCATCTTAAATGTCCTCTACAAAACCTGAAAATACCAAAAGTTTATCATGTCCTACCCAGAAGCAGCTTCAATATTTTTACAGTAACTGCAGAGAAATAAATTCTGATGAATAAGATTAAAACAAACAGCAACAGAGACCAATATTAATGTTTTCCTCTGATCCGTAAACAGCCCAACCCTCTGACTTCTCCTCACATTGTGCGGAAATTATTTAGCATTTCAGATTTTTCTCCCTGAAGACGATTGTTCTTCTGTTTCCTGCAGTTTTTAAGGAGTCGGCCAAATCTGAGCCTGATCCGTCGTTTCCTCAGATGTTTCCTGTCTGCAATGACCAAACAGATGAACATCTTTTCCACTAAAACAGATCAAGTTTATTAGCTTAGCACATTCCAGCAACAAGGCTGTTAAAAACTCAACAAGTTAAACCCAACATATGTCAACCTGCAGTAGCAAAACAAAGTGAAATGATAAAAAGTAGAATTAATTAATGTTCCAGTTTCGATGACAGCAGCAGATCTTTCATGTCTCGTGATTTAAAACAGTTTTTCAGAGTCTCGTCTCTCAGTGGAGGGACTTTTCGCTGATTTGCTCTTTCTTCCTGGTTTTAGTCAGACGCTGCTGCAGGAATCGAGAAACACATGGATGAGATTCTCCAGATCCTGCTGAGACTTTCTGATCCCGGAAATGTTCTTCAGCTGACGGAAGGCCGACTTTATGACCGACTTTATGCGGCCCTGAAGGTTCAGGTCAAAGTTCATCCTGATCTCCAGTTTACAGCTGCAATGACTGAAACTACATGCTGATTGGTCCAGAGATATCAATCATTCAATCAATAAATCAATCAATCAATCAATCAATCAATCAATCAATCAACTTATCAGTTAGCCAACAACTGTGAAAACCAGTAACTTTGGCATCGCTACAATCATCAATACAATATCAAATATATTGATCAAAGCTCCATTTATTATGATCAATATCACGTGTGACCAGGTGGTTTCAGTCCAGAGTTGCAGCTGAATGCTGCTTCTCCACGTTTGGACCAGAACCAGAACACCTGACGGGTCCAGAAGGTTGATCCATAACTTCAGCTCCTCCAGCCGCTGATTGTAGAGCAGAGCATCATCTGCACAGCAGCAGCAAATCTTATTATTGGTCATAATCTGAGTTCACAGCCTTCAGAACTGAGAAGCTCCTCCTGAGCCGTGAGGATCCGTCTGGATCCCGGACGGTTCTGCTGGGTTCGGTCCAGAGTTTTCAGCGTTTGATGATGTAAAGCTGCTGCAGTCCAGCCATGAACTGAACCGACACCAAACAGCTGAGTGGGGCTCAGACTCTCCATGACAGGAAATGGTTTTTAGAAAAGCCTCCAGATCAACACGTAAACAAAGCAGCCTCTCTCCTGCAGACACAAACTCCTCCTGGACATCCTCTCTTTGTCTGCCAGACTCTTCCAGCCTGCGTCCTCTGCTGTCAAATCACATTCCTCCCTCGCTCTCTCCATCATACATCTCTCTTTCCCTCACCCCTCCACCCTCCCTTCATCTTCCTCCATCTTCTCCTCCGGATGACTTATTTAAAGCTGCCAAAAATAATTTCAGAAGCAGAACCTGTCAGCCTTTTATACAAAATGAAAGATAAAGAAACGGGGTCGATGACATAAAATGTGAATAAATTTGACATCATGAGGTTTTTTCCCACATGGGAAAAAGCAAACAAAGCATTCAGAGGAAACATGCATCCTCCTCTAAATGTCCCCAGAAGAAGAAGAAAGAGAAAACCAGAGATCTGTGCAGATCATCCGGGAACAATGACAGCAGCAACAAAAGGACATCAAGATGCTCCGTTTGTGTCTTTGTGGCCTTCACACCTGCATCCCTCACTCTATTCATTTGTTTCACCGCCAGAATAAACCCAGTTTGCGCCTGTGGAGGATGAACCGCCTACCTTCTCGGCTCCTCGGTGCTTCTTGGCCGCCGGAGGCTCGTCGTGCAGCCGCCGGACAACAATAGCTCCTCCGCCGCTCTTTCCTCCACAGTCCGCGGCTGTTTTCCCGCAGCCTCCGCTGATGGTGCTGCCGTCTCCCGCGGGGATGCGGGAGTCGGTTCCGGGTCCCAGGTGATGCTCCGGCAGGAAGACGGAAGGCGGAGGAGACGTGCCATCGTCGCCGGGCTTCTCCTTCCTGATCCGGGCGGGAGGAGCGGCGGCGTCCCGGTCCCTCTTCCAGCCCCGGATCAGGTTCTTCCCCTTCCGCTCCTCCTTGGCTTTGCCTGCAGGAGGCTCAGAGATGCTGCTGCTGCTGCTGCTGTTATTGTTCCCGTCCGCATCCCTGCCGGCCGCTGAAATCATCTCCACACCTTCCGCTCCTCCGACGCCGCGTCCTTGAGGCTGCGGCCGCCGCTGAACGACGAACCCCGGAGCCGCTGGATGATCCGCCGCCTCCTCCGGCTCCGCTCGTCCTTCCTGGCCGCCTCGGCTGCGTTTCAGCGCGGATCTCCTCGGCTCCGACCCGCCGCCTGGTCCCCGGGTCTGGAGCGAGGACAGGGCCGCGTGTCTGTGGGCTGAGGAGGAGGAGGAGGAGGAAGAGGAGGAAGAGGAGGAGGCGGTGAGGTTGTGTGACAGCTCCCTGCAGTCTGTCAGCGGCTCTCCATTCTCCTCCGCGCTCAGGAAGCGTTTCATCTCCTCTCTCCTTGTCTCCTTTGTTGATCTCCACGATCATCAGCATTCAAGTCGCTGCGAGGCGCCAGCAGCCGCAGTGGGCGCCTCCAGCTGCGGGCCTGGCGCTAACAAATGCGGCTGCACGATAAACTGCCCCAGAAGTTATCGCGATAAACGATAATATTATTCAGAGCGATTTAATCGGCTGCACCGTCAAGCTGGGAAAATAAATATACTTAATGTGACCAAATATGATACAAACTAAATGCTACTTAGTTTTCCAAACTAAATGGTAAAACTAATTATTATTTTTAGTTGTTGCACCAATGATACATAAATTTAAATTTAAAAATATCCAACTTGTTAACTTATTCAGTGTGAATTAATTATTTTTCAATTCATATAGTATTAATATTTTAATTTTTAAAGAGCAATACTTTAGGCTAGAGTTGAAAAGTTATTCCTGTGTATTATATACATATATAAATAATTTGTATTTTATTTTTGGCTGAATTTTATTTTTGTGTTACTTTAAATGTTTGTTGTTTTCATACATGCAAAATTCAATAAATATATTGTTTTAAAAAAAGTTTTTCATTTCACTTTAGAATAATACAAATAACAAGACAAACTTAATATCAGATTTTATATTTTCTCGTTTTTTCCGCCTGTAAGGAATCAGTTGCCATAGCAACCACTGGTATGACGTAATGACAACCACTAATGAACGTTCAGTTCCGCCACAAGGGGGCGCCGTCCTTCCAGGCCTCAGCAGATTCATAAACCCTGAATCTATTTTTACTGGACTTTTACTTTGATTTGAGTAATTTTAGTATTTTTTCTCTTGTTGCAGTAAAACTTCTGGAGTTTCTACTCAATGAATAAAAAACTAAATTCACCAGAGACACAGCAGCAGCTTTTAATAAAACAAATACAAATAAATAAAAGTTGCTTTTATTAAAAAAAAAAACAATTTAATTTTTTTGTCACTTATATGAATTATTGTGATTTTGATCTTTACAATCCCCAAATTTCCTCTTGACTTTATATTTTGGTCCATTTGATGATGTAAGTTTTAAATATTAATGATGTTTTGATCATTAACTTTTTACTAAATACTCTTTTACTCTTGCTGCTAGAAACATTTCCCAAGAAGAAAATAGTAAATTAATATGTGATATTCATGATTATCGGCTGAGAGATCGATAATCAATGATCGATAATCAATGATCGATAATCGATACGTTTCTCTGGCTGGAGTCGGGTTCATAACGCAGAAATACTTTTCTGATGTCGACTCTTCAGCAGAGAGCCAGAGCTGGACTGAGAGATTTTGTTAATATTATGGGATGTTGGATCAGAACCACTGAGTAACTGGAAGCTGATTCTAGAAATAAACTCTATAAATAAAATAATAACATTTGCAACAGATATGATCAGATGCTCAACTTTATTGATCAGAAATCAGATTCAGAGAAACAGGAAACTGATTGGTCAGATAACAGATAGAAGATCTGATCAGTGATTATTGGCTCAGAGTCGATTTACTTAAAGCACAGGAACATTTTGTGGCCTGAATTTCTCAGGTTGAGATCCGTATCGATGACCCTGAGGCCGGCTTTCACATGCTCTTCCTTTGCCACCATGTTTATCACGGTGATGAAGGAGATGGCCGGTTTGACGGCTCCATCTGTCTGGTACCACAGGTACAACTGGGTTCCTCTGGTTCCTTCATTCAGGTTAGTTTTCACTTTCTGATATCCTGCTTTCACCAAACTTCTCTCCTTCAGATCCAGAGGATGTTTGGTGTAGCCGTTTTTACTGAACCAAGGCTCCTCATCACTGTTCAGGGAAACATCGATGTGGGTGATGAACGTCCACATCTCTGGCTCCTGCAACAACCAAACAGAAACAGGTGGATGGAGACAACATCTAGTAAAACACAGAGGAGGATTTACAGAAAGAAATGATTTCATTTATCATTACAGGAAACAAACTGGAGTTTTTATATCTGATAAATATGAAACATCTATTCCTCATAAAATAAAATATAATTCATATGCATTGATAAAAGCAGAAGCAGTTGATCTAAAGGAGCTTGAATCCGAAACATTTCCAGATTTTAAAAGGATTTGATAGTAAAATATGAACCCAGGCGGTAAAACGAGGGTTTCCATGTCAAACTGCTCAGTGACAGTTTTACTGGTGAACAGTTTCAGAGAGATGAACGGATGAAGCTGATCTCACCTGTCTGTGGCTGTGATTGGCTGAGGCTGCTGCTCACCTGCTCTTTATCAACCTGCTGGGAGCCCAGAGATGGTGGGAACTGTTCCCTAAAAACAAATGATCTAAAGAAACATGGCTGGATGCTTACAATGATCCTCCATCTGCTGCGATAAGCAGCAACAACATCGACTTCCTGCTGGGTCAGAACTTCTCGTCAAACTGGAACATTTTTCTGCTCCTGCAGCTGCAGAAAAATGCTGTGAAACCACCTGGTTTCTCTGGAAGCAGCAGAAGCAGAAGCTGAAGCATTTAGCCACGTTTCATTGTTAAAGGTTTATTATTGTGACTTTGATTTCATTCCAGGAGCAAATCGAAGCAGCTGGACGGGAGCCAGGATTCACAGGAACTCAGCGTTTCAGCAGCTTGACAGTTTTATGGAAGTTTGTTCCAGATTTATGGTGCATAGAAGATGAAAGCTGCTTCTCTATGTTTGGTTCTGGGGATACAGAACCAGAACCAGAACCAGATCGGAAGGTTGATATAACAACAGCAGTTGCAACAGATTTATAAACGACCAGCAGAATTTAAAGTCTCTTTGCTCAGTGAAGGACTGTAGAACCAGGTGGTTCTGGTCCAAAGTTCTGGACCAGCAGGCTTGTTGATCACTGATTTGTGCAGCAGGAATCAGTGAGTTTCTCTGAATCAGACATTCGTTCTCTGGTCCTGGAAAAGCCGACTTTGTAACTGTCTTTATGTGGCTCTGATGGTTCAATAAAGGAACTGAACTGAGACACAAACAAGAAAGAAAAGAACTGATCAGTTTCCCATCCGAACAGAAAAACCAGCAAATGAAGCAAAACGGAGAAGAATGTGAGAAACGAGGTGAATCTGTCCGGCAGCTTCAGCAGAGAAACTTCAGAGAAACTTCAGAGAAACTTCAGAGAAACTGCAGCCTGATAATGAGGGCAGCAGAAAATGGAGCAGCTATCAAAGCAAACAAACAGAGCAGCAGATAGTCAGAGGGTCATCCACACTCACCACGGCCCCGCCATGTTTACCTGAGACAAACGCTCAGGCTGAGCGGCACGCCGCGTTCTGGAACACGGAGGTTCTGGAACACAGAGGTTCTGGAACACAGAGGTTCTGGAACACAAAGGTTCTGGAACACGGAGGTTCTGGAACACGGAGGTTCTGGAACACAGAGGTTCTGGAACACAGAGGTTCTGGAACACGGAGGTTCTGGAACACGGAGGTTCTGATGCGTTATGGTGCGACACGAGCTGAAAACTTTCCCGTCCTGATCAGAACCTGCGGCTGCAACACAAATGTTTGTTGTTTCCCAAAAGTTTTCTGAGCCTGAAAAGCTTCAACAGGCCAGAACAGCAGCAGCGTTTCTATCGGCCGGATCGTTACAACATTTCACATTTTGAAAATGAATTTGCTGAACGGAAACACAGCAGTTTAAGAAACAGAAGCACTAAGATCAAAACTGGTTCACTTTGCAAATCACTATTTTCACATCACAAGAGTCACCTGGTCATCAACCAGATGTTACTACTGGCAGAAATGAAGAAGACGGGAAACGGTGGGCGGATGTGAAGGTCAGTCTGTGGAGGAGAAAAAAAAATCTATCAGTCGAGTCGGAGCAGATGTGCAGAAATCATCGCAGATGTGCAGGAAAATCTGAAGGAGATTTTATGTTTCAGGCTCCATTCAAAATATTGTAGATTAAAATCTGGCTTCAGATTCGTCTCTGTTTGTGTTTCAAAGTGCATCAGGTTGAATCTGTGAAGTTGCTTCATCAGTCTGTAAATAAACGGGAAGTAAAAAAAATCCTCCATCAAGTTTTATTTCTGCTCTTCAGTTCTGGTGTGAAAATAAACTTTTTTTCCAGAAAATTTCTGAGATTAATCTCAATATTTTAACGTTTGTTTTTTCAGGCAATGGTTTGACTTTTGGAGCTAAAGTGAACATTTCTGAGGTTTCTAGGATTAATCTAATATTTTCAGATTTTTTTCTAGTAAGTTTTTGTCTTTTTTTGAAACAAAAAAGATTCTAAAGTTTTTGTACAAAATTTCTCAGATTAATCTCAACATTTCGGAGATTTTGTAGCAAACTTTTCACTTTTGGAGCTCAGAAACTTTCCTGTTTTTTTCTAGAAAATATAAAAAGTTTTTTGGCAGTTGCTTTTTTCTGTCAGTGACTTGAGGTCCAGATTTCAGCCTGTTTGTGTGAATCGTTTTGTTGTTGCTGTCTTTGGAGGAGCTGCGTTTCTCCTCTGCACCTCCAGGATCCACTTTTTAAAAAGATGAAGCTTTAGTTTCCAAACACTGCAGGGTGAAATGTCACAGATCAAAGGTTTAAACACACACACACATTTACACACCACCTCATCCTGCAGTCTGATTGGCCGGGACACGTGAGACGGAGGGGGTGCAGGTACAGCCGCGGCTCACCTTACGTCTCGGCGGCAGGAAGCGGGACGTCCAGGCTGAGATGACGGAGGAATGCGTGGAGCCGCAGACGTCTCAGGAGGATGTCAGGACGAGCAGCAGAGGATCCGCCAAGCAGGGCCCAGATTATCAGTGAGTCCAGGACAGCAGAGGAACAGCTGATGGTCTGTTATTACCTCTGGTTCACAGCGTGGAGATGACTGCCAGTGTGGAGAATCCATTTGGAAAGTAACGTTGGAGTAGAAGCTGCATGATGGAAAGTGAACCAAGACTTTCACTGTGGAGGTTCTTGCAGGAAAGATCCTGATTTTGATCTAAATTTACATTTTGTAAATTGAATGTCTTTGATAAAGACATTAATATAACATTAACATTATTATGATAACTCAGCAGCTTAAAAACTTCTTTTTACAAATTGAAAAAAAAAATGCATGTTGCAAACTTTGCCAGTTCAGTTTGGTGCAGAAAGTTCTCATAGTTTTACATTTTGTTGCATCAATTCAAGTTATTTATTGTGAGTTACAGTAAAAACAATTCGTATGTAAAGACATTTTACCTGCATTCCAGTTTAAATTCCAGTTATCATTCAAACTGGTAAAAACAAACAAACAAAACCTGAGAAAACCAGTCGATGCATGGAGCTGCTGACTGAGCAACAGGATTAGATTAACATGTTAATTCTGCAACAATCTCTCATTGTGAACAAAGCCTGTGGAGATAGTAGGAAGGAAATCTCCCTGCCAACAGAAAACACTGGAATACAAACACATTTTACTATTGTTGCATGAACTGACGATCCATTGAAAAGCAGCAGCAGCATCAGGGAGTTCAGGCTGAGCGCAGCAACAGAACCATCCGGTCGGTCCAACAGAGTCGGGCCGCCGCCAGGGCAGAGCTGAGCCGGCGGCGGGTTAGGGTTATACGGTTATAACCTTAACCCTTATTTTTACTTCCTTTTTCTTTATTTGGCTATTTAATATTTTATTAGTTTTTTCTGTGGCTTTTTTTACTTTTTCATTCTTTGTTTTGTTCTTCATTCCGTTTTTTAGATTGTTCTTTTTTTTATTCTTTTTTGTTTTATTAGTCTTTTAAACCTCTGGGGACCAAACCGTCCTCCAGGTGGAACCTCTTCCACGACCATCTGTGGCTTTTCCAGCAGAGCAAAGATCAGATGGAAATCTGATCTATGAAAGTTCAACACTAAAAATTTGTACTTTTAAGTGTAAAATTTGTAAAATTTGTAGAAAAAAATAAAAGATTTTGAAAGTCAAGACATTTTAAAATATAGAAAATCCTCAGAAAACAACATTGATGTCATAAAAACACCTCAGATAAAAACTAAATAAGCTGAAAAACCTGCTGAGGAACAAAACCGTTTTGCTCTGAGTGTCTTAAACATGATTCAGGAGGATCCACTCTGAGGGTTCATGTTGCAGCTGCTAGTCGCTGCCAGGCCAGTGAATTATTCATGCAGCTGATCGGCTGCGGGTAAACCTGAGGCCACGCCCCTAAATGAGCTACCTGTACAAAGATAAATCTTAAAATGGGCCCCGGCTGATTGGGGAGTTGAAATAGACATGAACAGGTTACTATTTTCTGCTTTTATTGTTTGTTTATGTCCAGTTCTGATGATGAGGATGAGATGAAGGAGCATCAGAAAATCAGCAGGATGGTTGGAGAATCTCTGCAGGCTGCAGATCAGGAGCAACTGGAGCCGTCAGGCAGGAAGAAACCGCAGCTGGTCAGGTATCCACCACTACATTACATTTTATTTTATTTCATTAAACCGTCAAGGATCCTCAATATTACAAAATTATATTTATATCTAAATTCTTCTAGTTTTCATTCATTTTTTCTCTTTTTTCTCTGCAGCCACAGCTTAAATTTGCCACCTGTGGGAAAAAGAAAGTATTTTCTTATCTTATAAAAACATAAAATAATCATAAATTCATTTACATAAAAAATGCTTTCAGTGCTAATAGCACACAGCTTGTTCATGTAACGTTTTTATGTTAAACAGAATTTTGAATATCAAGGTGAAGCCTAAAAATCCATCTGGCACTGGAATCAAAAAATCTGTTACTTTGTTTAAAATGCAGAAGATCAGATTTTTGCTCACTGAATGTATTAATTTTATTATTTTATGCCTCAACAGGAGGGAAACCTGGGAACTGAACCCGACAACCATTAGCATCCACAGTGTTAGCATCATAGCATGTTGGCTAAGTTATATTTTAGCATATTTGCATCAAAATATGGAAAAGATGGACTGAAAGAAATGTTCTGAAAGGCTGAAGTCATGAGCAGTTAGCCAGGTTAGCGCTGCAGGAGATCAACATAAATATGACTTAGGCAATAATGCTAATTGGCTAGCATGTTGATGCTACACCAACTGAGCCTAAAGCAGTAATCATAAACAGTTATTAGCATAAGCTAATGCTAAGATGGCCAAATATTTCAAAGTTATAACAAACACTAAAGGTCGCGTTGGCTAACGAGCAGCTAGCTCATTAGCACAGATGTGCCCAACACTCCATATTGGAATTATGTTCATGTGTATTTAAAGTAGAGACATTTTATTTAAACCTATAAACCACATTAGCAGTAAATTAGCAGTGCTGGAAGTGAAGAGTCACGTATGGAGGAATAAATCTGTATTTTTTATTTTGGGTGATAATTCTCCCTGTTGATCCATGCAGGTCAAAAACTTTAGACAACTCCATGCTGACTGAGGTCCAGATCGACCCGGAGTCCAAGATAGACAGGAAGAGGTTCCACTACAGCCAGGTGAGTCCGATCACCAATTGATTGGTTCCGTCCAGGCCTGCAATCAATAACTGGATTTCAACACAGTGACTGTAATTAGACAGTTACAAGAAAATGTAGAGATATATTTCAGTTTTTGATAAAAAATATTTTAAATTTCTGTTATTTTTATGTTTTTCTTCCAGTTTTCCATCTCAGTGATGTTTATTTTTTTCATTTTTTGTTTATTTTTCTGTAATTTCTGGTTTTTCTCAGTGAGTTTAGGCAGGAAGCTGCTCGGTCAGCTCTCAGCTGCTCTCTGGTTTTCTTTGTGCTGCAGATTTCCAAGAGCAACTGTCAGTACCATAAAATATTTAAGGAGATCAGCAAAGAGGAGCAGCTCCGACAGAGTGAGTCTGAACGGTCACAACTCTCTGCTCCACCTTAAATGAACCTTAAATCAGAGCTGAACGCCTGATTCCACTTTATTGACCCAGGATGATGAGAAACAGCTGAAATATCCCCGTTTTAAAAATCATATTATATATAAAGCTGCTCAGCTGCTACTGAGTCTCTCACCTGCCTGCAGGTTACACCTGCGCCCTGCAGAAAGACATCCTGTACCAGGGCCGGATGTTCGTCTCCGATCACTGGATCTGCTTCCACTCCAAGGTTTTTGGCAAAGACACCAAGGTACCACACACACACACACACACACACACACACACACACACACACACACACACACACACACACACACACACACACACACACACAGACCCACTCACACACACACACACACACACAGAGACACACACACACACACACACACACACACACACACACACACACACACACACACACACACCCATACACACACACACACACACACACACACACGCACACACACACACACAAACACACAGACATGAGCAGTTAGCCTCAAACAGTAAAAAAAAATTTACCTCCAAAAATTCTTCAGTGCCAAAATTAAAGCTCATTTCTGCAAAATAATTTAAAAATCAAAAACATTTAACATAAAATGAATGAATAAATGTTCACCCCCTTTACAGCATGTCCAGCTAAAGCTACACAGAGAGAGTTCTGGAGTGGCCTAGTCAAAGCCCTGGTCTGTTCTCAGCTGTTTCCTACCAACAGTTTAGCAGGAAGAAAAACTGTCTGACTGATCCACAGACTCCCTGCTGGGACGGCAGATACTAAACACTGGAACGGCGTAAATATTTATGAAAACGCCTGAATATTAGAGCTTCAGTGTCAATTTGACTTTATAGGGTTTTTGTTATTTCTGTCAAAAAAAGCTAAATTTTGTTGATTATGATAAAGAGTAAAAGTTCCCAAGCTTCATTCATATGAAACAGGAGAAAAATTAAATCATATATATTCTGTTACATGTTGATTCGAGTAAATCTGACATAAATTCAAATGTTTTAAAATCCCTGAAGTTTCATTGTGGATTAGCTGAAATAGTTTTGATTTCAGATTGTCATCCCAGTGATGTCCATCACCAACATCAAAAAGACCAAAACCGCCATCCTGCTGCCAAACGCTCTGGTCATCGCCACCACCAACGACAGAGTGAGAAATCAAACGCACCCCAGCAGCTCACTTCCTGTTCAATAACCGATAATCGATCGATAATCAGCTGACACTGATCATCAGCTGGCTGTGGGTGAGCAGAGTTTCTCTTTCTGTTGCCACAGTACCTGTTCGTCTCCTTCCTGTCCAGAGACAACACCTTCAAGTTCCTGACGTCAGTCTGTCTCCACCTGGAGGTGAGGAGCAGTACTGCATGTTTTAAGAGAGTGAGGGAGATTAGCAGGTTAGCTTCAGTTTTCAGTTTTCATTTTATGTCAGTTTTTTATTGTTGCTTCAACTGAAATCCAGCAAAAGAGGAATACTTTATACATTTATTTTTAGTGAAATATTCATTCATGGAATATTCACAACTGAAAGACTTTGAAACGAGCTAGAAATTAAAAACTAGATTCTAATCAGGACAGATCATTTAAAGTGGCAGCAGGAAATTATTATTTTAAAAAGTTTGTTTTTTATATATATCTCATTAAAACATCAAATCTGAGCCGTAATGATTGAACCTGCAGCTTCTGGTTGTGTTGATGTTCACAGGGCAGGAGTCCGTGCAGCAGCCCGGTTCCTTCCTCAGCCCCACACAGCTTCAGAGGTCAGAGGTCGCCGCTGTTGACCCCCTTTCCGATGGTGAGTTCACGGTCACAAAATGACTCAGCATTTTACAGCCTGACCTGTGGAAGGTCACAGAGGGAATCACTGGCAGGCCTGTTTGGTGTCCGGTTTATTGTAGTGCAGTAGATGACCGGTTCAAACCAGTTCAAACCAGTTCAAACCAGTTATCCAAAATTACCAGACGTAAGTCACAAAAGGAATTTCATGATTGTTATTACAATCTTATTCTCATATGACTTTTATTACAACTTTTTTCATATATTAATTCCTTTGTCGTATTACAGCTTTATTCTGATAATATCATAATTTTATTGTTTTATTATTATGATTTTATTTTGGTAATTCACTGAATTCTCTTAAACTGGCTTTAATACTCAGGAATCGAACCAGGGACCTTCCTGCTGAGGACAGTTTTGTGCATATTTGTGTTGTGAGGCCTGAGGATGAGGACGATGTGTAATTTTCCTGCAGAATAATTTATTGGACCTGGATGGAGCCGTGAGGCAGAGACGGCAGGAGCTGGAGGAAAACAGCAGCTCCGACTCTCCGGCCCCAGACTACGATAAGATGGCCGGTACCCTCCAGTCTGTCTGTTTACATTACACATTACCCAGCATTCATTGCACACATGCAGCGTGACGCTCTAAAACTAAAACATAAACAACAAACAGCAGAAATCGGTGGTGAAGTTGGACGGAGTCGCTGGGCGAAGCTTTGAACGCCTGATGAATCTGATACACCAAACATTTTGGAAATGTTGAAAATATTAAATAAATAATAGAAACGTAGCCCAGAAGCATCATATCGTTTAGGAACAGCAGGGGGCCCAGGATGCAGCCCTGAGGGACACCACAAGTCATTAAATAAAAAATATGAAATCTTCTCAAGTTATTTTGATTTAAAAGTAGAATTTAAATGAAAACTGTTAGGATTATTTATGACTGAGAAGAAACAGTAACAGTATTTTTAAATAGTAACTTGGATCTTTAATATTCGCAGGAATATTTGACTTTCCGTCTGAAAACATTTATTACTGAATATTTTAATGTTCAAACACCAAATGTACCTTAAAATGCATTAACACGCAGCGATTTCTATGGAAACCGTATTAGCACTCATGCAGCCAATCAGTGGCCAGGAAAATAAATGCTGCTCCTGGATTGGCTGGTTTAAAGCAAATGCAGGCCAGTAGAGTGTGAAGCCGCATCTAAATCTGCAAATTTTCCATCAATAATTTGAAGGAACATCTTTCATCACAGAAAAGGTGAATCTGCTGATAAGAAAGTTGTAGAAGAACAAAAACTGAAGTTTTAACCAGATCTTTTCCCAGCAGACTTGCCCATTCCTCACTTCCTGGGCCTGAAACAAAGCGGGAAGTCGGCTTCTCCGGAGCAGAAGCACAAAGTGAAGAAGCAGCATCAGAACCAGCAGAGCGCCACCAAGAGGCAGCGGAACTCGCTGCGGTCCAGTGAGTTCTGCTCACATGTCAACAACCCGGACGATTCTTCAGCTGATTCGTCCCTGAAAGGAATCAACAACATTAATTAAGTCTCGATGTTTGTGGTCAGCTGTGACCGATTTTATTACAAACAGATTAACAACAAGGACAAAACATTTCCAGAATTATTTTTGTTTTCGGTTGAATCTCATATTCCTAATTCTTCTTATTGATTGTGATATGTGATCGATTTAACTAGATTTCCATGCTTTCTGTGGCTAACAGTCATAATTAGTCAAATAATTTAAGAACTGAACGTGTTTTTGGTTGTTTCCAGGTTCAGAGGTCGTGTTCGACGGCAGAGTCATGAAAACCGTTTCTCTCAACACTCTGATGATTATCTACATGTTCCTGTAAGATTCAGCCCTTCATTTATTCAGATTAATATTTCACTGGTTTGTTTGCTAAACGTTCACACAGGGAGGATAATGCTGGGTCCCGTTGGTAAAGTTACAGAATTAACCTCTTCAAGTTTACATTTAGTTTACAAAACTCAATATTCAGCCGGCAAAACATTAAAATATATGACACCTGGTGGCTCTTCCCTTCATGGAAGACGCTAGTGGAATATCGTCTGTCCTGTCTGGATATCGAGCTATTAGCATGTTAGCAACAGGCTTCAGTCAGAGGCTTCCTCAGAGAATCTGAAGACTGACTGCTACTGGAGATCTTTCCAGTTCACATCATCACCGTCCACAACGACTCTGAAGATATTTGTTGTGCTCCAGAGTTTGTGGGTTCATGGTCCACTTACCATCCCCCTCTCTGTTCCTCTGTCCCTGTGTCCCCTCTGTCCCCTCTGTTCTCTCTGTTCCCTGTGTCCCCTCTGTTCCCTCTGTTCTCTCTGTTCCCTGTGTCCCCTCTGTTCCCTGTGTTCCCTCTGTCCCCTCTGTTCCCTTTGTTCTCTCTGTTCCCTGTGTTCCTTCTGTTCCCTGTCTTCCCTGTGTTCCCTCCATTCCCTCTGTCCCCTGTGTCCCCTCTGTTCTCTCTGTTCCCTGTGTCCCCTCTGTTCCCTGTGTTCTCTCTGTTCCCTGTGTTCCCTCTGTTCCCTCCATTCCCTCTGTCCCCTGTGTTCCCTCTGTCCCTGTGTCCCCTCTGTTCCCTGTGTCCCCTCTGTTCCCTGTGTTCCCTCCGTTCCCTGTATTCCCTCTGTTCCCTCTGTTCCCTGTGTTCCCTGTGTCCCCTCTGTTCTCTCTGTTCCCTGTGTCCCCTCTGTTCCCTGTGTTCTCTCTGTTCCCTCTGTCCCCTGTGTCCCCTCTGTCCCCTGTGTTCCCTCTGTCCCTCTGTTCCCTCTGTCCCCTGTGTTCCCTGTGTCCCCTCTGTTCCCTGTGTCCCTTCTGTTCCCTCTGTTCCCTGTGTCCCTCTGTTCCCTGTGTTCTCTCTGTTCCCTGTGTTCCCTCTGTCCCCTCTGTTCTCTCTGTTCCCTGTGTCCCCTCTGTTCTCTCTGTTCCCTGTGTCCCCTCTGTTCCCTGTATTCCCTCTGTTCCCTCTGTCCTCTGTTCTCTCTGTTCCCTGTGTCCCCTCTGTTCCCTCTGTTCTCTCTGTTCCCTGTGTCCCCTCTGTTCCCTGTATTCCCTCTGTTCCCTCTGTCCCCTCTGTTCTCTCTGTTCCCTGTGTCCCCTCTGTTCCCTGTGTCCCCTCTGTTCCCTGTATTCCCTCTGTCCCTCTGTTCCCTGTGTTCTCTCTGTTCCCTGTGTTCCCTCTGTTCCCTGTATTCCTTCTGTTCCCTGTCTTCCCTCTGTTCCCTCCATTCCCTCTGTCCCCTGTGTTCCCTCTGTTCCCTCTGTTCCCTGTGTCCCCTCTGTTCCTGTGTTCCCTCCATTCCCTCTGTCCCCTGTGTTCCCTCTGTCCCTGTGTCCCCTCTGTTCCCTGTGTTCCCTCCGTTCCCTGTATTCCCTCTGTTCCCTGTGTTCCCTCTGTTCCCTGTGTTCCCTCTGTTCCCTCTGTTCCCTGTGTTCCCTGTGTTCCCTCTGTTCCCTCTGTCCCCTGTGTCCCCTCTGTTCCCTGTGTTCCCTCTGTCCCCTGTGTCCCCTCTGTTCCCTCTGTCCCCTGTGTTCCCTCTGTCCCCTGTGTTCCCTGTGTCCCCTCTGTTCCCTCTGTTCCCTGTGTCCCCTCTGTTCCCTGTGTTCTCTCTGTTCCCTCTGTCCCCTGTGTTCCCTCTGTCCCCTGTGTCCCCTCTGTTCCCTCTGTCCCTCTGTTCCCTCTGTCCCTGTGTTCCCTCTGTTCCCTGTGTTCCCTCTGTTCCCTGTGTTCCCTCTGTTCCCTGTGTCCCCTCTGTTCCCTGTGTTCCCTCCATTCCCTCTGTCCCTGTGTCCCCTCTGTTCCCTCTGTCCCTGTGTTCCCTGTGTCCCTGTGTTCCCTCTGTCCCCTGTGTTCCCTGTGTCCCTGTGTTCCCTGTGTCCCCTCTGTTCCCTCTGTTCCCTCTGTCCCCTGTGTTCCCTCTGTCCCCTCTGTTCCCTCTGTCCCCTGTGTTCCCTCTGTTCCCTCAGGGTCTGCGTTCTGGTCCTGTCTTCCTGCTATCTGACCTTCAGGATCGTTTCTCTGGAACAGAAACTCTCGACGCTCGGCTCCATCAGCGACTTCACGCATCACGAGTGAGATTCATTCTCTAGCTTAAATGTGTAGAAAAGACTTTGGATGATTTGGAAAACTTTGTAGGTTTTAGCTGAGATCTGTGTTTAAAATAAGGGAACTGCATTTTACCAACATATTTCTTAACATGACTGATCTGCATTCAGTGTTTCTGTCACATGACCAAACAAACCAGACGAAACAAACAGGAAATACATTTTGGCTTGTTGACGTTGTCCCAGTTCTACTTATCAGACCGGTACCGGTGCTGATATCGGACCGATACTAGCGTCAGTATCGGTCCGATAAATTATGCTTCCCTACATTTGGTTTGCATTAATTTTGACTCTGGGCGACTTCTGGTGCCAAGAGAAGTCCAGAAATCTTTAACTGCAGATATTTGCTGATGTATGCAGAATTTTCCGGAGGATTCCCACATTCATCTGTGTGTGTGTGTGTGTGTGTGTGTGTGTGTGTGTGTGTGTGTGTGTGTCTGTGTGTGTGTGTGTGTCTGTGTGTGTGTGTGTGTGTCTCTGTGTGTGTGTGTGTGTGTGTGTGTGTGTGTGTGTGTGTGTGTGTGTGTGTGTGTGTGTGTGTGTGTGCGTACGTGTGTGTGTGTGTGTTTTCCTAGAAGCAGTTTTCTTTCTGGGAGTCCTGATCTGAACACTGAGCTCTTCTCTGAACTGCTGACCATCAACCTGCTGAAACTGGAGAAGGTTTGTCTTCCTGATCTCATTAAAACTCGTCGTTTCTTGATGATTAACAGGTTCTGATCGTCTGCAGGATCAAATTCAGAAAGTTTCCCAGAAATCAGCGGATCATCACTGGAAACCACAGATCTTCTGCTTCTCTTGTATATTTTGCTTTTCTTTCTTTTAAACAATCCACAAAATTCTCCTTTAATCTCTGGAAAGTTTTATTCATCCAACTCACAGACAGAACTGCATGAGGAGAAAAAGCAGGCAGGTTTTTCAGAGAAAGTTCTCTGATTGGCAATAATCAAACATTCCTCATCATTGATCTGACCAGAGAAACATGGAGCTGCGAGGCGAAATCCTCATCTTGTGTTTCTGAGAAACATCAACGTTTCAGGCTGAAGCTCAAGATTGCTTCTAAAGTTACACTGTGAAAAAATCACAGCAGTAATTTGGATTATTTAGTCTTTCATAAGGAGAAAAGTAAATATCACAGTTTAAAGCTAAATATTTAACTTCACACTACAGATTTAGGTCCAAACTAAACAATATTTAGTTTCCTCTAACTAAATATCTATAAGGTTCCTTTAAACCTTACAGATTAACTTTGTTCATAAAATATTTAATTGAATATTTTACATCATAACTTTTTGTGCTCATGCTGATCGTATCAATAATCCAGTCTAACCTGCATGAATCCAATCACTCACTATGTTTATATGTCTGTTTTCAGGTCCAGAAGAATCTGCAGAAGCTGCTGGAAGAAGCTGCTTGACTGAACTGGGAACCAGTATGAGCTGCTGACAGCTTTGTACATAAACTGTGAATATTTAATTTATTCTATGCAGGCAGTAAAACGGGAACCCGCTGCAGCTGCGGCCTGAGAAATTAATCAAACTGCAAACTGATCGATTTTCTTCATGCTGGCAGTGAAACTGACGCCTACTTGTAGAAACAAACAGTGACGTCGCCCTCTACCTGCAGCGAGCGTATCTGCAGCTCAGAACCAAACTGGAGCAATGGAAACATCTCACAGGCTTTGACTAGGCCAAAACACATCTTCACAGGTGGAGCTGCTGGTGGGAACCAGTAGCTGCGTTTCCGTTACAAATGTAGTTGAACTGTGTTGGTGTCACACTGATGTCGAAAAACAGCTTAGAAATTAAAATCAAGCATAAATAAGTTTGATCCTGTAATAATGGCAGCAAACAAACATGTTTTAACCTCAGTTTATTTCAATTTGGAAACTTGCATGCATATGCATTTCAAATGATTTAAAATTTAAGACTGAATGTGAACATGTTGTGATTTATTAAATCTAATGAGAAGTAAAGGCTATTTTGGAAAAATAAACTCATTTTGGGAAATAATTATCTATTTTCTGAATAAATGTTCATTTTTGCTGTAATTTTGTCATTTCTCTCTTTTAAACATTTTTATTTCACTGCTTTCGGAAGCAGAACTGGCAGATTTTTTTACTGAAGCTTAAATTAAAAGTTTTTCACCCTGTTGGATGTTTTTCTGTTTTTATTGTTTTTAATCATAATCAACAAAGTTTGGCTTTTTGTCAACAAAAAATTTCTAAAAACCTTTTATGTCAAAATTCAAACTGGGTTCTATAAAAAGAGGATTAAAATATTAAACATGACTTCAGTATGTAGAAGAATAAATGTTTTACTAACACAAAAGATAAAACATCCAGTTGTGTGAAAGTTTTAAAGCAGTTAAATATACAACCACTTATCTTTATTCATGAATTATTTGGGTTTTTTGTCCATTTTTAACTTCATGTTTTCGTTTCATCGTTTGCTGCTTCTTGAACTGATAAGAGTTAAAAACTGGTGACAAGAAGCTGCTGAAGTATCTTGAAGAAATTGATTAGATTAATAATTTAATTTGATCTGATTGAAAACAATAAGGATAAAGTGGCTCGTTAAGCTGATGAAGTCCCCTGGATGATTAACAGGTTTCATTGTCAGTTTCCTGACTGGAGGTTTCTGTTGATCCTCGGCTGTTTGAGGAGAATTGCCCTGAAAAGATTGTGATTCTTTTCAGGGTCAACAGATGATGATCCGTTTCTGCTGGAGAATATTTAACCTGAGGCGATGCATAAACACTTTACTAAAACAAACAATAAAAACCTGGGTTCCTTTATTCTCCTTATTTTAATTTGACAATCTGGTCAATTACTGACAGAAACAAATCTGCTGTGTAACAACTTAAAAGAAAAAATTCTACATATAATTAATAATTTCTCTATACCTTTCAAATCAAAATAAATTTTAAAAAATGGAGCGGGTGAAGAAAAAAGCTTAACAATTTGCAGATGTTAAGGTTTTATGTCATTAAGGATGTTAAAGTTTGGTAATAAAATAAAAGTAGTTTAAAGTTGTTTCCATATTTTCTGAAGGATTTTGATCTTCCAGACATTTTTCTGCAGGAATATTAAAACTTTTTGACCTGGAAAACTAAATATTCATAATTTCTTAAAATCTAAAACATGTCTTCAAGAGGGAGATGACAGAACAAGATGGAATATAAAAATGTTCTTCATCCTATTTGTTATTCTGGCTTTAAAACTTTTGACTTTTAACAGAAATTTGACTCTGAATCTTCCCTGCAGTTCCACTTTGAACCGCCAGGTGTCGCTGTTTGACGGTTCGCCGTGTTTAATCAGCAGCTGTTTCAATCTGAACAGAAACTAAATGAAACTGCAGCAGAAACTTGAACCGTTTCAGGATAATAATGTGTTAGATCCGCTCAGTGATGAAACGGCTGTGAATGCCGTGATGCCGCTGCGCGCAGGTTTGCGCCTGCTGGGTTTGTTGTTCAGTGTTTGGCGCAGAAAGCGGCTGTTGTTCTCTGTATGCTAATCGGATCTGAGTGAATGTCTCAGTGTGTCGCCGATAACAAATGGCTTTGTGTCAAACACAGCTGCGCACCAAACCTAAAGAATATGTCAAATATTCTCATTTCTACTGGTTTCAAAGGTTCAAAGTAAAACGTGTTGAATTCAGGTTCATTTTGTTTTCTGCATTATGTAAGTTTGTTTTACTTTGATTGTTCTGGTGCGTAATGGCCCTCATCCTCTTCAGGCCTCCCGCAGCGCAGAGGGAGGAGGAGACGCTCATCTCACTAAAGGCTTGATTCATCATGTGACGGAGGAAAACGCAGAGTTGCGGCAGTTTGGTGTCCTTTACGCACAGACTGCGCATCTCCGCTGTGCGTCCTGGCGCGTCCACCCGGAGCTCAGCAGGAGAGAAAACATTGTTTCTAGATCGGTTCCATATCGGGTTCCTGTTTCCACTCAGCTTGTAGGACGAGATGTCTGAGAAGTGACGGGTCCAGTTCGGGGCAGCAGAACTTTTGAATCATGTCGGACAGGAAACCGTCGCTGAGAGCCGGCGGCTCCGCGCAGAGCCGCTTCCAGGTGGACGTGGTGACCGAGGGTTCCTCCTCCTCCTCCCCCTCCGCGGCTCCGGCCCCGGCTCCGGCTCCAGAGGAGTCCAAGGGCCGCTTCAAGGTGGTGGGCTTCATGGACCCGGGCCTGGGCCCCGCCGGGGACATCGGGGCCCCGCCGGACGTCTTCCACGAGCCGGACACGGCAAAGAGCGACTCCGTGAGCCTCCACTCCACGGGCACCGGCCAGACCCACATCTCCGACTCCCACTCCAACACCTACTACATGCGGACCTTCGGACACAACACCATCGACGCGGTACCGAACATCGAGTTCTACCGGCAGACCGCGGCGCCGTTCGGGGAGAAAATGACCAGACCGTCGCTGTCGGAGCTGCACGACGAGCTCGATAAAGTAAAGCAACCAGTTTATGTTCAAAGTCACGTTAGTTGGTGGGAAAACTCGGATAAGTTATCAGAATCAGGATGTGGGTTTGTTTTTTGTCCCTTATCCTTTTCCGTACATTTGACTTTATTTGCACAGAAAGTCGAATGAAGTGAAAAACTAAAATATTAGTTTTGACCTGATAAATTATTGATGAAAAAATAACAAAGGTAATCAAAACTGTGGCAAAGAGCTCTGCAGAAGCTCAGTGGCCCACAGCATCACGGGTCCTCCACCTTCTCCCTTTGTTTCAGACTCAGCTGCTGATAAAAAGCTTGTTCATCTGATCCCGTCAGAGACTGTTGTCCTCTTTTTCTCTTTGCTGCATTTTTCTATCAGGCTGACAAACATGGAGCCTCGTTTAACCGTCAGGTTCTTCACTAACGTTTCAATCGACTGTTGATACTGGAGGAAATAAAGGCGCCGGGTTTGTTCTAGTCAAGGCTTCAACAAACAGGCTCATTTCTACTGGATACATGTGTTTAGATAGACATTTACAAAAATCAGCATTTACAGTCAATCTGTAAAAACATCAAAACATGACTGACCGTCAAAAGCAGTGAAAACTCTTTCCTTTGTGGTTTTAGTTCACATGCTCTGTAATTAGATCCAAATCTTTATTAGAATAAACTGGACATCTTTTTTGTTCTACAGGGCCCCCGGCCCCTCAGAGCCCCCAACTAGAACCGTCCGTGCTGTAAACGTGGAGGCCCCAGAGGGTCAACAGAACCAAACAGCCAGGAAACTCTGCTCTAGATTCTGTTTTTAAACCTTAATCATTTTTCACTTTTTAAAACTTCTCAGACATCAATAAATGGTTCCTCAGAAATTAACTTTTTTTTTTTTTTTAATCTCACAATTTCTAAGTAGTTTCTTTTCAAGCTCAGAAATTTTCACTTTTTTTCAGAAAATGTCTGAGATTATTCTCAAAACTCCCATTTTCTAACAAATTTTCTTCTTCTGAAAATTTGCAAAAGTTCAAAATGTCTTAAGTTTATTTCCTGTTTTGTTTTGAACATTTCTGAGGTTAATCTCACAATTTCAACTTTTCAAAGTTTTTCTCAAAAAATCCTCAGATTAATAGAATTTATGAGTTTTTTCTTGTAAATTTCTGAGATTAATCTCAAAATTTCTGAGTGTTTTGGTTGAAATTTGCTCTTTTTTTCTTCCAATAATGATCCTGATGCGTCATCCTACCAACGAACCGCTGAAGATGTTGACCTCATCAAACAAATGTTGACCTCATTTCGTCCTTCTGTCTCCAGGAGCCGTTTGAGGACGGCCTGGTCAACGGCGAGGAGCCGTCGGCAGCCGAGGAGGCGGCGGCGTTGATGGCGAAGGAGGCGAAGGGAGGAGCGGTGAAGTTCGGCTGGATGAAGGGCGTCCTGGTGGGTGATGAGCGACGGAGCCTCAGATACTCTGAGCGTTTGCAGCAGTCAGGCTTTGCTAACCTGTAGAAACGTGTTCCAGGTGCGCTGCATGCTGAACATCTGGGGGGTGATGCTGTTCATCAGGATGTCCTGGATCGTCGGTCAGGCTGGAATCGGTGGGTGACAAACGGAGTTAAAGTTTGGTTTTTATTCTCAGGTCTGATCAAAACGTTGTTGGATGGAAGTGAAGGAGCTTTTTGTTCAGATTTTCATGTGTTTTTGTGAACCAGGACTCACCATCGCCATCATCCTCATGGCCACTCTGGTCACCACCATCACCGGCCTGTCCACCTCCGCTATAGCAACAAACGGCTTCGTACGCGGAGGTGAGGAACCCGGAGGAAAACCTCAGACTCAGAAACATTCAGTTTTAACTGAGATGAAACATGAATTTTTCTCTCATTTTAAGACTAAAATAAATAAGACCTGCATGACGGAGCATGCAGGTCTTATATAATATTAGACTAAATATTATCAGACAAAATATTGTAAAAATTGTTGCTATAAACATTAATAAAACCCATAAGGTTTAATTTGTGCAGCAGTTTTGGTCATCTATGTGTGTTGGTGCTTATTTGAGGTGGAGCGTACTACCTGATCTCCAGAAGTCTGGGTCCAGAGTTCGGCGGCTCCATCGGCCTCATCTTCGCCTTCGCCAACGCCGTGGCGGTGGCCATGTACGTCGTGGGTTTTGCTGAGACGGTCGTCGAGATGCTCAGTGTAAGAGCTTCATGAAACGTTTTAAACCTGTCTGTGATGAAGGTTCGGCCTAAACTGAAACATTTTCCTGCCGCGTTGCTGCAGGACGTCGACGCCCTGATGACCGATGAGCTGAACGACATTCGCATCGTCGGGACGCTGACCGTCATCCTGCTGCTGGGAATCTCTGTAGCGGGGATGGAGTGGGAGGCCAAGGTGACAAACAAACAAGACAGTTTGGTTATTGAAAACGATGAACCAAAGTCATTAGTTTTTGCAGGAACATGTTTTATTGTCTTCATGTCTGACAGTCATTCTCATACAGGATGAGGATTTGAGAAAGTTTTGTTTGTGACTTAAATTAAGTTTTATATCTATTTCTTTTGGGTTTACGCATCACAAACTCTTTAAGTCGTAGGTCCAGGTTCTAGAGCAAATATCCTATTAAGTTTCTAATAAGACAAAACTCATTTGTCTTAATTATTTTGAGTCATTAATTCCTTCATTAATGACTCATTAATA